TCTTCCAAGTATCCTGAAAAACCTGCAACCAGGAGAAGATAAAGTAGATGAATGGGATCTTCTAAGAATCAAATCCCTATGCACATCCAAAAACTTCTCCAACAGGGTTAAAAGGGAAGCCACAGATTGGGAAAATGTATTTGGTAATGACGTATCAGATAAGGGACTTATATCCAGAATTTATAAAATACTTGAGCACCACAACAAGATAAAGGTAGCAAACACTTCACCAAAGAAGGCATTCAGATGGCTAACAAGCCCATAAAGAAGTGTTCAAAATCTCTAGCTCTAAGAGAGAAACAAATTAAAACAACTATGACATATCATCTCACCCCCATTAGAATAGCAAAATTTAACAGAACAGCAAGCCACAAATGCTGACAAGATTGTAGAGAAACTAGAACCGTTATTCATTTTTGGTGGGAGTGTAAAATGGTGCAACCACTGTGGAAGGTGGTATGGCGCTTTCTCAAAAAGTTACAAATAGAGATACCATTTGACCCAGCAATTCCATTACTGAGAATATACCCCAAAGAGACCATAACTGACACCCGAGCAGATATATGCACACCCATGTTTGTTGCGGCTTTGTTCACAATAGCAAGGAGTTGGAAACAACCTAAGTGCCCATCAACAAACGAATGGATAGAGACGCTGTGGTACATTCACACAGTGGAATACTATGCTGCATTGAAAAACAAGGAACTGATGAAATATGATTCAAAACGGGTGACTCTGGAGGACATTATGCTGAGTGAAGTATCTCAGTCACAAAAGGACAAATACTGCATGGTGCCACTATTGTAAAACAGGACTGACCTTGGGGTTGGGGGGAGACTGAGAAAGATGGGTTCAACAATGTATACTGCATTGAAACAAATGAGGGAGAAAATTGTTTAAGAGGGATATGTTATTAAGTATTTTTGTCATGATGGAGTCTAGAATGAAGGCTACATGATGGAGTGGACCTGGGGGAGGGTTTGTAAAACAAAGAAAGAATTTTTCTTTTACTTTTCCAAGAGTGTAGTGTACTAGGGGGGAGGGTTGGGAGGGGTGAAAAGTGCAACAATGAATGAATGGAAATTAAAAAAAATTTTTTTTGGCACCAGCAGTCAAGAAATCAAAAGACAAATTGCATTAGGTAAATCTGCTGTCAGTGACCTTTTCAGTATACTTAGAAGCTACTATGTCATTCTAGAAACTAAGATACACTTGATCCAGGTCATGATCTTCACAATTACTTGCTATGTATCAGAGAGCTGGACAATGACTAAAGATAACAGAAGAAGAATTGATGTCTTCAAATTGTGGTGCTGGAGGAGAGTCTTGAATATACCATAGACTGCCAAGAAAACAAATAGTTCTGTCTTAGAGAGGGTGAAACCAAGTTTCTCTTTTGAGGCCAGGATTCTGAAGCTCTATCTCATATACTTAGGGCATGTGGCCAGGAAGTATCAATCTTTGGAGAAGGACATCATTCTCAGAAGGGTGGAGGGATGGCACAGGAGAGATAGACACTGGATGAGATGGATTGATACAGTAACTAGGGTAATGGTGGGTAGGTGTGTCAGAGTCAGTGAGACTGGCTCAGGACAGGGCAGGTTTCAGAACATAGTGTTGCTATGAGTCATAGGTGACTTGACAGCATGTAACAACAACAAGCCAATCCCCTCCTGAATAGACCAACACAACACACCCCATTTTCGTGTCTCCTATAATAGCAAAATAAAAGCCAATTTGTAAAAACCATTTTGAACAATAAATCCTCAGCATCATACAGATGTTGAAGGCTGTAACAGTAGAAGCATCTAAAGACTGGAATATCACTAAGGATGTACAGAAGATGCCGGAATAGGTGCCAACGTGAAACAAAAAAAAGGGAAAACAATATATTGAAGTGAATGAATAAAGGAGTTTTATGGAGTACAATGAAGATATTCCCAAATTCCGCTAATGAGAAGCACCCCAAAATAGAAAGAGCTGAAAGTGTTGCCTATTTTGAAGTAGGGCTAGCAATTACCATCCATGCGTGAATTCTCTGCTTTATTTTTTATAATTTTTTTCTAAACAAATCGTAGTTTGTTGGTTTTTTTAAAAGATATTTGAAATACAACTTTATGCTGGTTCTAAACGAAAAGAATGGGCATGGCAGTTACACACAAGATTTTACCACGGAATATTGTGATTTGACTGTAGCAGTCTTGTATTTGAAACTCAAGAAGGAAACTACCTTCCAAAACAGCTAACTATGCAGGTCCAAAAAATGAAGGGGTTTTTTTTTTTTTTTAACTGCCACATTCACTCCGAAGCCCATTCATCGCTCCTTCAGCATCCCAAAGATTAGCACATGTTCTGCTTAGCTAGATAATAAAGTGGCAAACACGCGGCACCACTGACAACACAGGACAGTTGCCTATAAAACTAGCCTTCTGACGCTGGGCTCCAGCTTCGTTCTCTCACAGATTGTCACCCTCGTCCGGGAGAGCAGTTCTCTGCGCAACCTCTAAATCATGCTCATATTGTGCTGCCAAAGCTGGGTCCATGACAACTTCTGGTGGGGCAAGAGCAGGCATGGCGACAAACTCCAAGTTAGGGTCTCCAGTTAATTTTCTAGCAAGCCAAAGGAAAGGCTTTTCAAAATTGTAGTTACTTTGGGCAGAAATATCATAGTACTGAAGATTCTGCTTTTGGTGGAAAATGATGGATTTTACCTTAAGTTTCCTGTTCTTAATGCCCACTTTATTGCTACACAACACGATGGGGATGTTTTCACATACTCAAACCAGATCTCTGTGCCAGTTAGGCACGCTCTTGTAGGTAACTCTCGATGTTACATCAAACATTATAATGGCTCACTGGCCTTGGACATAATAACCATTCCTCAGTCCCCCAAACTTTTCTTGGTCAGCTATATCCCACACATTGAATTTAATCGGTCTTCTGTTGGTGTGGAACACGAGGGGATGGACCTCCACACCCAATGTGGCTACATACTTCTTCTCGAATTTGCCAGTCAGATGATGTTTTACGAACGTCGTTTTTCCAGTACCACCATCACCCACCAACAAGAGTTTGAACTGGACTTGGGATTCTCCTTGGGCAGCCATCGTGATGGTTCTTCCAGAAGCGTCTCTGGGCCCCGTCTGACCCCCAAGTGGTAGTTTTTAAACTTCTCTAGCACCTTTATTATCTTGCTCTGGGAGAACAAAATATTTTTTCTCCCTAGAATTAATTTCTAAATGCTAACTGATAGCCATTTGAAAAATCAAAAGACATCATAAAGACTCCTTTTCTGGACATACTTAAGTTTTGATGGTTGTTGTCAGGTGTTGTTGAATTGACTATGACTCACAGCAATAGCATGAACCATAGATTGAAATCTTGCCTGTCCTCTGCCATCCCCATGATATCTATCATGCTCAAACCCGTTGCTGCAGTCACTGTGTCAATCTCACTGTGAATCCTTCTCTCTTTCTTTAACCTTCCCAAGCACAATGTCTTTTTTCCAATGACTCATCCCTTCTGATAATCTGCACCAAAGGATATGAGATCAAATTTCACTGTCTTTCTTATTCATGGTCCAATTTTCAGATACTTAGGAAGCAACCGAAAATAGCATGGCTAGCCTGGATCAGATGCATCTTAGTTTGATTATTGTTGTTTTATGCCATGAAGTGGCACTGACTCATAGCTGGCCCTCCAGTGGGTTTTCAGAGGCAGTAAAACACTCAGGAGGAGATTGTCCATCTTTCTGTCACACATTATTTAAGAAACAAAGACAAGGTTGAGAACTGGGACCTTGTGCTTAACCAGTAACTATAATTTCATGATACTTTCAATAGCAGCTCTGGTAAAGCTGACACATGGCTGGCTAGGGAGAGTCAACCAGTTGGGGGAGGCAGGCCTCTTTTGAGTGACAAACTCTTCCTTTTATTTACTTTCTTCTAGAAACAAACATTACCCAAAGTTTAAGGTAAAATTAAACACAGATTAATTTTGGATCTTTTTAGTTTTTTAACTTAAGCTTCTATTTATTAAGTGTCTTGGTGGTGTAATTGGACCACTAACTGAAAGGTCAGTAGTTCTAATCCATGGAAGAAAATGGATTCATTTGCTCCCGCTAAGATTTACAGCCTTGGAAACCCAATGAAGGGTCACCACGAATCAGAGTTAATTCCGAGTCAATGGGTTAAATTTTGGCTTAGTGGATTTGTATGTACAGGGCATTGTAGCAGGTGACCATTGAGATAAGGAATTGCCAACCCAAAGGTACACAGTTTGAATGCACCAGCTGCTCTTCTAGGGTAATCTTCTCCCATGTGATTTAATGCCCCTGAAAAAAATGCTAGAGGGTCAGTTAATGAGTCTGTTCTAACTCGATGGTACTCAATAACAATACACATACACAGAGGCAGTAATTGCATGCCAATTATGGCACTTGACAGACCAATGACATAATGTTCACTATCACAGCAATCCAGAGTTACTTCAATATAGAAAAATGACAGAATGGTGCTGTACCTCTTAGGAGTGTTCATTTCAAAAACAATAACAACCAGAATAGGAGAAGATTGAGGAAGCAGTGGAATGCTCCCAGACAGGCATTTTTGGGTGGTGAGAGCCAATGGGAATGCTTGATTATGGAGGAATGTGGAATAATGGAGCTCATGGAGCTTGAACCTTGCCTTGGTTCTTAAATTTAGTTGGGCCTGAGGGTAATGGGTGGTTTTAATTGTTTTGGTCAAACATTCTTCTAGGTGGTATAGCACTGGTCTATGCATTGCTGTACAGAGGTAACTCGTGGTTGCTGTGATACTGAACACTGTGACACTGATGTGCCAAATGTGATAATGGTTACCCGTGGTGGACAGTGTTTGGTGGAGCTCCCCAGTTGAAAGAAGCTTGGAAGCAGAAGTGGCAACTACTTCCGAAATAGCTTGCCTCTGGAAACCCTATGAACTTGGAGAAATGATGAAAGTTATTATACAAGTGTTCAGGTCTTTTGTTCATAGAGTCACTGTGAGTTGTCTATGATTCGATGGCACTTAGCAATAACAACAACAACAGCAACAACAACAACAACAACTCCAAGGAGTGCTCCTTGGAGGCTAGGTCGGAAGACTTTGTCTGACTTACTTTGTACATATTTTCAGGAGGAACCTGTCTTTGGAGAAAGACATCATGCTTGGGAAACATAGAGGTTCAGTGACAGAGAAGAAGACCCTCAATGAAATAGGAAATGACAATGGACTTGAGCATGAAAGACATTGTGAGGATGGTGCAGGATAGGACAAGGCTCAGATACGACATTTAAAGGGTTATTATGATAATAAACTTGATTGCACCTAGCAACAAATGACAATACTGATTAATTTTAAAGAAGCATTGATATCACAATTTTAGGGTTTTTTCCTAAGTAAAAATAAAATCTGCTGCTGTCAAGTCAATTTCAACTCACAGCAAGTTTATATGTCAGAGTAGAACTTCCTCATAAGGTTTCCAAAGCTGTAATATATACTGACTTCAGTTGCCACCTCTTTTTCTTTTTCCAACAAGCTGGTGGGTTTGAACTGTTGACTTTTTTGTTAGTTTTCGTTGTGTGTAATTGAGTTGGAATCAACCCTAGCTGACCCTCTAGCGGGTTTCAGAGACAGTAAATCACTCTGGAGGAGATTGCCCATTCTCTGGCAGAGCAGCTAGTGCCTTTGGGTTTTAAACTACATGCCTTTGGGATTAAAGTACATCTTACCACGAGGCCATAAGCGCTCCTTTGGTTAGTTGATATTGTTATTATGTGCCATTGAATTGCCTGTGACTCATAGCAACCCTATGTACAACAGCCCTCGTCACTGTATCAATCCATCTCATCTGGGGTCTTCCTCTCCTGTGCAATCCCTCCATCCTTGTAAGCATGATGTTCTTCTCCAAGGATTGGTCCTTCCTGACCACATGCCCAAAGTATGTAAGACTTTGAAGGAGCTTCAAAATCCTAGCCTCCAAGGAAAAACTTGGTTTCACACTCTCCAAGACAAACCTATTTGTTTCCTTCATCGTCCATGGTGTTTTCAAGACTCTTCTCCAGCACCAACCAGAACTCAAAGGCAACAGTTCTATCATCCTTAGTCATTGTCCAGCTCTCTGATGCATAGCAAGTAGTTGCAAAGACCATGGCCTGGATCAGGCACACCTTAATCTCTAGACTGACACCGTTGCTTCTCAGTACTCTGGGAAGGTCCCTGACAGCAGATTTACCTAATGCAATTCGTCTTTTGATTTCCTCACTGCTAGTGTCAAGAGTGTTGACTGTTGAGCCGAGCAAGCTGTAACTGTTAACAACCTCAATCTCTTCTTCATCCATCATAGTGCTGCTTGTTGGCCCAGTGGTGAGAATGTTTGTCTTCTTGATGCTGAGCTTCAATCTATATTGATGACTACAGTCCTAGACCTTCTGCAGCAAGTACTCAGGTCCTCCTCAGATTCAGCAAGCAAGGATGTGTCATCTGCATAATGCAGGTTGTTGATGAGTCTCCTCCAATCCTGATGCCACATTCACTGTGCCACCAAAGCTTCCATTTCCCATATCCTTCCCTCCTATTGGTAATGTAAAGTCACTCTAATTATACCAAGATAAGCAATGCCAGAATTTGTCCTATGTGGAATGAGGGCCTGTTGGAAAGAGAGAGATAAGAGAGTGAGCTACTTGCCATTTATTTGAATATGTCACACAACTAGAAATTAGAGAGTAGGTTTCAGACATGAGCCTGTTTGGCCCCAAAGCACATGCTCCTTTCACTTCAGCACTAGTGATTATCAGAGAAGTCTGTGAGACATCTATCTACTCTTGAAACTAGGACAGAGTCTCCAAATTAGACCCCTGGGAACATCCATGATATTGGAATCTTAATTGACCCTGCTCATTAACCATGAGCGATTAGTCTTGTACTTTTATTTAAAATTGTCGATGTTAATTGATGTGTGCCATCAAGTTGAAACTGACCCATAACTGACCTTCTGGTGGATTTTCAGAGACAGCAAAGCACAGAGAATGTTGCATGCACATCGGAGAAGAAGGTATACTGTGCTTTTTATGGGTTCATTAGTCTATAGATATCCATGAGGTCAAGTTGGTTTATTGTGTGATTTAATTCTTCAGTATCTCTGTTGAGTTTTTTCTGGTAGTTCTATCTTTTCTTGAGAGGGGTGTATTGAAGTCTCCCAGCACTATAGTAGTGTTGTCGATTTCCTTTTTCAGTTTTGTTAATGTTTGTTTTATGTATTTTGCTGGTCTTTCATTTGGTGCATAGATATTTATTATTGTTATGTCCTCTTGTTCTATTGACCCTTTCAGCATTATGTAGTGACCTTCCTTGTCCTCTGTGATGGTTTCTACATTGATATTTATTTTATCAGGGATTAATATGGCTACTCCTGCTTTTTTCTGGTTGCCATTTGCTTGGTATATTTACCCCCACCCTTTTATTTTCAGCCTGTCTTTATCTTCATTTTTCAGGTGTGTTTCTTGTAGATGACATATTGATGGATTTTGTTTTTTTATCCAATCTGCTACTCTCCTTCTCTTCAGTGGTGCATTTAAACCATTCATGTTCAGCATGACTATTGAGAAGCTAGGTTTTATTGCTATCATTGTATTGAGTTCTTTTTGGTGTTGTTGCTAGTTACTTTGGACCATGGAGCTTTCTGTGGTATGTCTGTAAGAAGGACATCTCTGAGTCTTTCCTGCAATACTGGTCTTGTTTTTACAAACTCTCTTAGGTTTTGCTTTTCTGGGAATATCTTGATTGGTCCTTCACATTTGATGGATAATTTTTGAAAGTTGTGTTCTTTGAGTGTTTGATATATGTCCTTCCACTCTCTTCTTGCCTGCCTGGTTTCTGCTGAGAAATCGGCACTTAATCTTATCTGTTCTCCCTTATAGGTTACTCTTTGTTTCTCCCTTGCTGCTTTCAGGATTCTCTCCTTATCTTTGGTTCTGGCAAATTTAACTATGATATGCCTTGATGTTTTTCTTTTGGGGTCGAATCTATATGGTGTTCGCTGAGCTTCCTGAATATATATTCTCTCATTCTTCATTATGCCTGGGAAGTTT